CCAGTGTTCTACCATGCAGACACTCATCCTCCTTTCCAATGTCCGGGTATCCCTGGGACAAGCAGCTCTTACGTATGTAACATCATTTTGTCTTCTCAACAAGCCCGTGGAAGTTATTATCATTTCCACTTTTTTGATAAGGAAGATGAAGTAACTTGTTAATAAGTGGAACATCCTGAACTGGAACTGTTTCTTTGACTCTGAAACATATGTATTTTTGGGGTGTTGTTGTTGTTGTTATTTTTATTTTTATTTTTATTTTCTGAGACAGAGTCTCACTCTGTCACCCGGGCTGGAGTGTAGTGGCGTGATCTCAGCTCACTGCAACCTCTGCTTCCTGGGTTCAAGCAATTCTCCTGCCTCAGCTTCCTGAGTAGCTAGGATTACAGGCATGCGCCACCATGCCCAGCTAATTTTTGTATTTTTAGTAGAGATGGGATTTCACCATGTTGGCCAGGCTGGTCTTGAACTCCTGACCTTGTGATCCACCCACCTCAGCCTCCCAAAGTGGTGGGATTACAGGCATGAGCCACGGCGCCCAGCATGTTGTTATTTTTAAGAGACAGAGTCTTGTTCTGCCACCCAGGCTGGAGTACAGTGGCACAATCATAGCTCACTGTAGCCTGAAATTCCTGGGGTCAAGGGATCCTGAGCCTCAGCCTCAGCCTCCTGAGTAGCTAGCACTACAGGTGCATGTCACCACACCAGCTAATTTAACAAAAATTTTTGTAGAGACAGGGTCTCACTGTGTTGTCCAGGCTGGACTCTAACTCCTGGCCTCAAGTGACCCTCCCCCTTGGCCTCCTGCAGTTCTAGGATTATAGACATGAGCCACTACAACCAGCCCAAATGATACATTCTTTGACTGGCAACGTGAAATGTTTAAAATACTGGCCAGGTGCAATTGCTCACGCCTGTAATCCCAGTACTTTGGGAGGCCGAGGCGGGCGGATCACTTGAGGTCAGGAGTTCAAGACCAGTGTGGCCAACATGGTGAAACCCCGTCTCTACTAAAAATACAAAAATTGGCCGGGCGTGGTGGCGGGCACCTTTAATCCGAGCTACTCAGGAAGCTAAGGCAGGAGAATCGCTTGAACCCAGGAGGTGGAGGTTGCAGCGAGCCAAGATTGCACCACCACACTCCATCCTGGGCAACGGAGAGAGACTCTCAAAAAATTAAAAAATGGCCGGGCACGGTGGCTCACGCCTGTAATCCCAGCGGTTTGGGAGGCCGAGGTGGGCGGATCACAAGGTCAGGAGATTGAGACCATCCTGGCTAACATGGTGAAACCACATCTCTACTAAAAATACAAAAAAAATTTAGCCGGGCTTGGTGGTGGGCACCTGTAGTCCCAGCTACTTGGGAGACTGAGGCAGGAGAATGGTGTGAACCCTGGAGGCGGAGCTTGCAGTGAGCCAAGATCACGCCACTGCACTTCAGCCTGGGGGACAGAGCGAGACTCTATCTCGAGAAAAAAATAAAAAAATAAAAATAAAAATAAAATAAATAGGCTGGGTACAATGGCTCACGCCTGTAATCCCAGTACATTGGGAGGCCGAGGTGGGCGGATTGGCTTAGGTCAGGAGTTCGAGACCAGCCTGGCCAACATGGTGAATCCCCGTCTCTACTAAAAATACAAATAAATTAGCTGGGAGTGGTTGCATGTGCCTATAATCCCAGCTACTGGGGAGGCTGAGGCAGAGGAATTGCTTGAACCAGGGAGGTGAGGCTGCAATGAGCTGAGATCACGCCACTACAGTCCAGCGTGGGCGACACAGCAAGACTCTGTCTCAAAAAAATAATAAAATAAAAAAAGAAAATACTGTATGTACTCTGCAGATATAACCATGTAAGAACTTACCTGGATAAAACTTGAAAAGGAGTAGAAAAAGTGAAGCACTCGGCCTTTTGAGTGGCACATAGTATTTCTTTGCCACCCAGGCTGGAGTGCAGTGGCATGATCTTGGCTCACTGCAACCTCTGCCTCCTGGGTTCAAGTGATTCTAGTGCCACCATACCTGGCTAATTTTCGTATTTTTAGTAGAGGCGGGGTTTTGTCGTGTTGCCCAGGCTGGTCTAAAACTCCGGATCTCAGATGATCCACTTCCCTCGGCCTCCCAAAGTGCTGGGATTACAGGTGTGAGCCACTGCACCCAGCCCAGACTTCATCCTTAAACCTCCTTCAGTTTCCAGCTTCCCTGACTGAACAGCTACTCTAATTCATTTGATGAGAAAGGCAGGTCTTTGAGAAGTAATTGAGAAGGTTAAGCCAAATATAGTTTGGAGTTAGATCAAATACTGCAGGGGCAGAGAGTTGAGATTGGGCCACAGTTAGGAAGAGAAGAAAATATCAAATATAAGCAGAGATTAACACCCCACAACTGAATACCAGCAGTAATACAGGATTTGGGCCAGCAGCGGGGTTAATGCAAAAGAGGCAGCTGGTAAATCGAAAATATAAGCTTTTGTTTTGTTTTGTTTTTTGTTTTGTTTTAGAGACAAGGTCTTGCTCTGTTGCCCAGGCTGGAATGCAGTGGTGTGATCGTAGTTCACTGCAGCCTTGAACACCTGGGTTCAAGTGATCCTCCCGCCTTAGCCTGCCCGGTAGCAAGGACTACAGGTGGCCACCACCAAGCCCCACTAATTTTTTTATGTTTGTTTTTGTTTTTGTTTTTGTAGAAGTGAGGGCTTGCATTGTTACCCAGGCTGGTCTTGAACTCGTGGCCTCAAGTGGTCCTCCCACCTCATGCTCCCAAAGTGCTGGGTTGGACTGCAGGCATGCACCACCATGCCTAGCTAATTTGTTTGTGTGTAGAGCTAATTTTTGTATTTTTTGTAGAGACAAGGTCTCACTATGTTTCCCAGGCTGGTCTCAAACTCCTGGCCTCAAGCAGTTCTCCCACCTCCGCCTCCCAAAGTGTTGGGACTCTAGACGAGCCACCTCACCCAGCCAGAAAATATAAACTTAATAGGAAGTCTAAAAGACATTTCAGGAACTCTGATTTTGGGAACGCCTTCTAAAGACCCTTCTCCCCACCCTATGAACTGGCCTCCAGAAGCCCAGTTTGGCAGTAATTGTGCAGTGGCTCAGGCCTATAATCCCAACACTTTGGGAGGCCAAGTGGGGTAGATAACTTGAGGTCAGGAGTTTGAGACCAGTCTGACCAACATGGCGAGACCCTGTCTCTACGAAAAAATAAAAAATTTAGCCAGGCATGTTGGCATGTGCCATAGTCCCAGCTACTCAGGAGGCTGAGCCTAGGAAGTGGAGGTTGCAGTGAGCCAAGATTGTGCCACTGCACTCCAGCCTGGGCAGCAGAGTGAGACACTGTCTCAAAAAAAAGAAATCCTGTGTCCTCATTGCATCTTGCCAAGAAGCACCTGATATCAGTTTGTCTCATTATTTTTCAGGTATTTCAATATATTATTCTCTAGAATAGAGTATTCCATTGTCTGAGATCAAATCTAGCTTCCCTATATCATAGTGGCTATTTTTCTTCCAGCCCAGAAGTTGTTCCTTGGTAAGATAACTTTATTTTGTGAGTTTATAGATTTGGATTATAAAAATAGATCGGAACTGTTAGACTAAATTGGCCCAGACATTTTATGAGTCCACTTGGGAGAAATAGGAGTAATTCTCAAATCCAAAATGAGAAAATCCATGTTTAACAAAGAAAAATTAATTTGTAGCTGAAGGAAGTCCCCTATAAAAACATATTGTGTCACAGGATTCCCTTCACAGTGAGCTACCAATTTTATATGTGACTCAATTGACCTAAAAGAAAACTCTGTTTTAAATGATTAGTATGTGAGGTGATGGATATGTTAATTAACTTGATTTCATCATTTTGCTGTGTATACATATATCAAAATGTCATGTTGTACAGTGTAAATATATACAATTTTTCTGTCAGTAACACCTTAATGCTGGAGGCGATGGGAGAAGAAAATCTGTTTTCTTTATTTCACAAGCACATCTATTGCGTAATGTATACACATTGCCCCATTATGTGAGATTTATTGGCCTAGCCTAGGATTTGGCTTTTGACAACCAAAAAGTTTGCCCTTTGTGATGCCAGTCTCAAAAATGTTAAGAACGTACCCCAAGCATCTCTTTAAAAAGGATTTTGGATTTATTGACCATAAATTTATCTTGAATCTGTTTCTTTCATTTGTACCATTTAGGGACTGATGATTTGTATTTTTTCCACTTGTATTTACATCGCATTCCTTTTTCCCTCTTTAACTCAGGGGTTACACACTCTGAATGTCTAAAATGATGAGTCAGTGAAATGGTTTGTGTGTAAGGATTCATAATAAGAGAGTGGGTATCCCATCTACAGGGAGCAGCCACGCTCAACTTCAGCCTGAGATGAGTGTGGTTCAGTGTGGCCACGATATTTTGATTTATGGCTGGGCGTGGTGGCTCACGCCTGTAATCCCAGCACTTTGGGAGGCTGAGGCGGGCTGATCACCTGAGGTCAGGAGTTCAAGACCAGCCTGACCAACATGGTGAAACCCCGTCTCTACTAAAAATACAAAAATTAGCTGGGCATGGAGGCACACATCTGTAATCCCAGCTACTTGGGAGGCTGAGGCAGGAGAATCGCTTGAACCTGGGAGGCGGAGTTTTCAGTGAGCCAAGATTGCACCATTGCACTCCAGCCTAGGCAACAGAGCAAGACTCCATCTCAAAAAAAAAATTCTGATTTTTCCCTAGAATCCTCAAGTCTGAATTTTCAAACATCGTGAATTCAATCAAAAATTTTAAAAGACACCGTGCAGAACAAATAGGTGCCTCATGGCTTGCCAGTTTCTTTAATATACCTCTTTTACATTTCAGAGTGTCCTTTCTAGTTTTCTGGGATTTAGTATATGAATTCACCATCTTCTGATTCTCCTCCCCCAATTGCATGACAGCTTTTATTCTTCTTTCAGCTTTTCTCTTAACACACTACAGACTATTTTTCATTATTTTTAGGTTATTATAAAGAAACGGTTCCATATACTACTTTATTTACCTTGACCCAAGGCCCACTAATGTATAATAAGTAAAACTGTAAAATCGGTCCTTTCATCTGCTGTGGTTATCAGTTGTTCTTGAGGGTGAGTGACAATTTCATGGTTGGAGGCCAACTCTTCTTCCCTTCTCTCTGCAGCCGTCATTTCACCAAGCTGATAATGTTCGGGGAACCCGCCATCACGGGCTGGTGGAGAGGCCATCCAGGAACCGCTTCCACCCCCTGCACCGAAGGTCTGGGGACAAGCCAGGGCGGCAAATATCCTTTTTTACTCTTCAAAGGGAGTGTGCGTTCTGAAATGTTTGAAAAGTGTTCAGGATTTATCTTCCCTGCAATTCTCCTTTGGCCTCAAAATCTTCATTTATCTGATGAAAGGAGGCAATACAAATAAATGAGTTGGAAACGAGAAACATCTCTGCAGTCAGCATTTGGAAACATCATTGTAGGTGTTTATGATAGCATCAGTAAAGTTCAGTTTAACGAAATAACAACAAAAACAACCTGTAATTCAGTCCCATTGCAGGGTGTTCTGAGCATTTTCTCCAGAAACTGGCCAAGTTAAAGTTAAACCTGACTTTGAATCAGGTTAGAGAGACTTAGTTTATCTAGCAAAAATGGACATACAGATACGTGATTTATTTGTATTTCTTTTGATCTGCTGACCTGCTTTTGGAACTTACAGATGAAATTTCATATGATTTTCTATTTGTGATGTTTCAGACTCAGTAAGTGATAACTAAAATAAACCCAGAATATAGGAAAATCTCATGCAGTGATGTAGAGTCACACCAAACTCTATGCTGTTAAGTAGAAATAAAGGAAAGGAAATGGTGAATTCACCGGACAGTTTCATTTAATCAGTGCTGTTTATGGGGCGGCAGTGGTGGGTGCTGCTGTGCGACCAGCATTTTGCCGAAGGCTTTGGGGAACAGAACTGAGCTGGATTTTTTGGGAGAGGACACAGAAGTGTGCCAGGAGGGACTGTGCTCTCACTTCATTCTTCTCAGTACTCGGTCGCAGGGGTGGAGGAAGGAGGTGGAGGAAGGAGAAGAAAGGCGGGCTGCGGAGAGCTGAATTCCTGGCAGTGATGGTAGAGCTGGCTTCACAAGCCTAGAAACCAGGAAGTGGGGGCAGGGCACTCATGTTTACTGAGCACCTACCCATGCCAGGCACTGTGATGGGCAATTTATGTGTCATTTAGTCCTCAAAAACTCACTGAGTCGTTTATTTTTTCAACCCTCATTTTCTGATGAGGAAACTTGAGTGTGTGGTGAAGTAACTTGCTCAGGATTCAGACCAGGCCCAGGTGATGGCCCAGCCTGTGCTCTACCCTCCCCATGCCACCTGCGTCCACTCGCAGTGAGGAGGACCTTGTACAAGGGAGCCAGGAGTTGTGGGGGGCACCCTAGGGAAACCCCAACTTTTCTTGCCTTCAAGCTTCTTGCAGTTTTTAATCTATTTGGAGGCAAGGATAATGACCCCAGGGAATGTTTGTCTCTCCCCTTTTTCCCACCCCTAGGGACACACCACATTTGGTCCACAGAAGGACCGACTTCTGATTTTGTATATTATGTGGCTGTTATCAAGGAAAGTAAAGATGATAAATGATCTTGAGAATCTATTCTGGAATGTGTGATAACTTTGACATTGAATGAAAAAGGCAAAAGGAAACGGAGGCAATTCATCAGCAAATTTGCACATGTCAGGATGGAGTAGTACCTCAAACCATTGTCCAAATTGCCAAGAATGTTCAGGCAAAAGACTTTGAGTGTTTCTTTGCTTAATTTAACAATGTATATTTTTTTGGCCGGTCACGGTGGCTCATGCCTGTAATCCCAACACTTTGGGAGGCCGAGGCAGGCAGATCATGAGGTTAGGAGATTGAGACCATCCTGGCTAACGTGGTGAAACCCTGTCTCTACTAAAATTACAAAAAAATTAGCCAGGCGTGGTGGCGGGTGCCTATAGTCCCAGGCTGAGGCGGGAGAATGGCGTGAACCTGGGAGGTGGAGTTTGCAGTGAGCTGAGATCGCACCACTGCACTCCAGCCTGGGCAACAGAGCGAGACTCCATCTCAAAAAAAAAAGTGTATATTTTTTCAGTTCTCAGTTCCCTCTTTCTCCTGTCAGTGCTCTCATTTCTATATATTAGTTTAAACATTATGCTATATATGTATGTGTGTATGTATATGTGGCTATCTCAGATACTTTTGAAGTACAGTCTAAATGTATAAGCATACATAAAGCTTTACTAACCAAAATAGAGGAGGGTATTGAAGAAAAAAGAGTAGAATGTTTATTCACTTACAAAAATTATTTGTTAAGTATGTGCTAGTGGTCAGACACCGTTTTAGACATTTTAGTTCACTGTAACATTAAACAGCATGGCCCCTGACCTCAAGTTGCCCAGAGTTCAGTGGGAGAGGCTACTCAGCAAACAAGCAGCCACGGCAGGTATGGCGTCTGCAGGGAGGCAGCTCAGGGGCTGTGGGAGCACGCCAGAGGTGCAGCTTGAACCAGTCTGGGGAAACAAAGAAGGCGTCCTGGGGGAAAATCTGAGGCTTGAAGGTTAAGAAGTAAGAGGATAAAGTGTTCATTCAGCAGATATTTACCGAGCCCCTTCTCTGTGCCAGGCGCTGTTCTAAGCATGGGGACCCAGTGATGAATAAGGAAGACATAGTTCCTGCTTTCTTGAGTTTACAGTCCTGTGGGAGATGACAGCAAACAGGCAATAATAAAGGAAAATGGCTTTAGATGGTAATGATTGAGATTTAAGAGAGTAAAGCAGTTGGGAGGTATGTTCCAGGCAGAGGGAAGAGAATGTAGTGCAAAGTCCCAGAAAGGGAGATGACTTCTTGTGTTCAGGGGACCCTATCTCTTATGATAGGGTATAATCTGGCACTGTATGGATCAACTTGAGAGCATAAGCAAAGCTAGTCAACTACTAAAGGAAGGGGAAGCAAAAACCAAGTTAATATGCAGAGAAATTAAAGTTGTTAGACAGTGTGAGTCAGATTCACTGATCACGAACCATGTCTTTGTGGTCTCCTAAGCCCTTATATTGGGGTCCTGGGACTGGACATCTCTTGATGCAAAGAAAGTTCTTTAGCCCAGTCTCTTGAGGAATCAAGGGTCCGTGAAATGGGATGATTTTATTTTGGTGTTAATCTATTCCAGAGAACTTAGAGGAGGAGGGCTGTGATTCCATCTTTGCTTTCGTGGCCTTCATTCTGTTAGTTGTGAAATAATTTGCCTAAAATTGTGGCCTTGCACATTTGTCTATGACTTTTTAAATGAAGTTTCATCATTTGAAAGTATAAAACACTGGCTTGAACCTTTGTTAGAACAAAAGGAAAAAATCAGAATTCTCTTATTACAGCTGTTTCTCAGCTTGGGTGTTATTTAAGACACACTGGCTTAGACATGTGTTCTAAGGGTTCACTCCTATGATAGGGTGATCTCAAATAAAATGAACATGTTTAACAAATATTCTGGCTTCCTCTCAGAGTGGGCAGCCACAGCACCCAGAGCTCTGGCACAGGAGATTCCTTCTGGAGTGGGCTTTGCTCTTGGCATGGGCGGCCACACAAGACCAAGGCACAGCTGCAGCTGGGCCCTGGCCTAGCCCCACACAGGCAGAGGAGAGGCACTGCCAGGGCTTGCTCCTGGCTGGGGGCCTGGGCTTGGGCACTTGGAATAGAAGCCCTTCTGCTCTTCTGCAGCTGCGCAGTCTGTAGCAGCCCTTCTTACTCCCACTCCTCAAGGTTGGCGGATGTACTGTGTCCCAAACACCATCGCTGAACTTCTGAACTATTAACATAAATTTATAGCAAATAAAATATTTTCTCAGACTTGTGGGTAACACACTGAGAAAGAAGGAGACATGCTGAAGAAACATAGAAAATGGCTTCCTCTAAAGGAAGTCAAGAGTTCACTAGCATGGAGGGTCATGAAGAGATGCCTAAGACCTACCAGAGTTAGGATTGATTCTCCTCTCTGGGCTGGGCCTTGCTTGGATTCTTTTCATCATAATGAGAGGAAAATGTTAGGACATTGGTTTGTAGGACACTGTTTCTTTGAAATGCATGGCCTATTTCATTTGAGAAACACCATGCTCTGTATCTCCTCTTGGAGCCTGACCATATATATTAGGGCTCTGAAAAGTCCTGCAGTTAAGAAACTTCTCATCTTTAACCCAGGATTTCCAAAACTTAAGTGATCACAAAATCCAGCTTTTACTTAACACCCATCTTATCTTGAAGGACAAGGAAACATTAGTTTTTAGAATTTTAAGGGGTAAATATTCTGACTTCACGATACCACATGCAACCTATTTGCCTCTCATGTGCTGAGGGAAACAGGATGTTCTTATAAATGCAAGGACTAAAAAAGATGCCACTCATATCCTCCTTTACAGTTTCACTTTAAGATGCCTTCTAGTGGGACACAGTTGGAGGTAAAGGGACAAAAGGAAGTAGAATGACAAGAAACACATGGCTGAGAAATCAGGAAGGAGCCAAATTATGGCCAGTTTTCTGTATTCAATCTGAGCCTGAAACTTGTCGTGGTGGGTGGGTTCTATTAACCAGACTCTGAGTCCACTTACCCCACCAGCTGCATGGAAGGCCGCAGGCCTGCCTCACAAACCGTGTCCCTGGCAGAACACAGAGTTCCAGAGCGGGAGAGAAATGATTGGCTTCCAGGCTGCCCCGAGCCCTGCCCAGGTACCCTGACCGCAAAGGGACGGGAAGCCAAGAGAAGGGAACCCTGCGCCTGCTCACCCAGCCGCAGGTCAAGCAGCACAAAGAAAGGGACAGGGGCGGGTCTTGTTTTCAGCTTCTGTGACTCAGTAACCCCACCCACTGGTAAACAGGCCAACTGATGTCCTCTCTTATCAGCAGACAAAGAGCTGCTCCCCTTCCTTTGGGGAAGAGTAAGAACTGTTGCATCTAATACTCTGCAGGTTGAGAGGAACCTCAACCTCAATCCCTGTGTTGATGGATTGAAGCAGTAATTCAAGGAGGAAGATTTTCCTGCACAGAACTGCAGAGGCTTGGGGAGAGAGAGAGCAGACTGGGATGACTCTGAGATCCTAACCTGAGTGTCTTGGTGGAAGGTGGCCTTACTAAATAAGGTGGACTATAAGAAGAGGAACAGATTAAGGGGACAGTGATTAGTTGGATTTTTGGTAGAATTTGAGCTGTCTTTTGGCAGAGAAGTTGAGTAGGCAGTTGGAAATACGCACTTGGAGTTCACAAATTAACTATTGGGAACTGGAGGTATGGATTTATGAGTTACTGGACTGTGGGTGACAGTGGGGCCGAGAGAAGGATGGGATTGGCCAAAGCGAGCATGGAGGACGGGGGCTCTCCACCAGGAAGACAGGCACTGGCCCTGAAGCTCTTAGGAAGCGCCTCCTAAAGCCCCTGTGCCCGGAGGCTCCTGCCACCCCTTCCACCTGCTCCCACTCTACCTGGTGCCCAGTGATCCTGAGAGCATCCTTTGCCTCTCAGAGCAATGCAAGCAGGTGTGGCCTGAGGCTGTGAGGCCACAGGACCCCAGGGAACATCAGGACGGAAGGCAAAGGGGCAGAGAGGAGTGCACAGAAGGATAAGAAAAGATCCATGTGAGTGTGGGGTTTTTTTTTTTTAACTTGAATTTTTGTTTCCATCCATTGCAGCCACCTCTTTGTTTATCTTTTTCATTATCCCTCCTTCCTGCCTTCCTTTTTTAAGTAGAAATCTTCTTGAGCCAAAGGCTTCACTAAGCTTAACTAAGGAAGCAACGGAGGAGGTGCTGGTGTGATTGTTAAAAGCCTGGTGGCCTGTGCTGCCCTTCCACTGGCACTCTGGCACCTGGCGGGGATGCCAGAAATGCTTCTTGAGTAAATGGCAAATTCAAGTTTATAAATAAGAGTGTTTCCTCTGTCTCAAGGTTGTGACTTAGGGCATGTCAGTGTTGTGGAGTAAAGCCACCTGAATGAAGTTTTCTGAAATTTTCCAGAGAACAAATAAACTTTTTCTAGATTTTCCTTGCATTAACTGTAAGTGTGTAACATGAGTGGTTCTCTTGGGTTTTCAAATATTCACTAAATTAGATGAGATAGTAAAAATTAAGAGAGCTCAGAGGTCACATCTTTTAGCTTTTGATGCCTCAACCTAATTATATTAAAAATTTCCAGGAATTTACTATATTTTCACATTGTTAATATCAGGAAGGTTACAATGCTAGCTCATACCTCAACATTGAAATCACCAACATTTGATCATTACGTGACTATTACACCACTGCATTCTAATTTGTATTATCAGTACTATGAAATCAGAGGTATTGAGTTTAAAGATGGCAGTGTACTGAGAAAAATGGGAAACTTCTGCTTCCTGAAATTAAGTGTTTCTGAACAGAGATTCATCAAATCTGCAGAAAAGAGAAAGGCAGATAACCATAGGTTCTGAGGCTCAGTGTTTCCTCCCTAATGGCGTGGCCAGCAGAAATACTGACAGGTTTTGTCTCTCACGGGCCTTCCTATTTATCACCTTTTCCTCTCCTGCCTCCTACTGTGGTCTTGCCTCATCTGTACTTCATGTACGTTAAGCCTAATAGTGAATGTTGAAGAAATGTCTCTCTTTGGAAATTATCTGTTTTATTTTATCGACTTAAAGTCAAATTAAGACATAAGATAATGAGACTTGTCAAAGAAAACTAATACATAGAAGATAAAACTTGCAATCCTAATGCTTCTCCTGGCAAAGAAGACTTTTCCCACCAAATCACTAAGAACTCATGAGAGCCTCCGTTTTCCTAATTCCAGATTCTGTATTTATTTGAGCTGCCCAGCCCAGGCCTGCAGGATAGGGCCCCACTCCTTCAAGGCTCCTGTTTCCTCCTGAGCCCGAGCCAATGATACCTTCTCTTATAGCCTCCATCCTTCTTCCCAGAACACTATTTTCTATTTTCTGGGGGCATTTGGCGTAGTTCACTGTTTCCTGAGAGGCAGCATAGCTTAGCGGAGAGCTCTCAGGCTTTGGTGTCAGTGAGTTGTGGGTTTGACCCCTGATCCACCAGGCCTGCTATCTGATCTTGGATTTCTCAGCTCTTCTAGAACTGAGCCTCAGTTTCTTCAGCTGTAAAATGGGGGAAATAGCTGCCTCTCAGGATTAAGATTAAATAAAGTGTGAACTCAGCACAGGCCTGGCACACAGTAGGTGCTTAGATATCTGTTTTCACATTTCTGTCTTATTGTGTAGCTTGTATCTTCTTTATTATTTCCACCTTAAGAAATAAAGGTTTGGGATGAAAAGTATTACTGGTAACTGCAGAATGTATATTTCATCCAATCAGTGATCCAGGAGACAAAAGGAATGGGCTTGGTTTGGGTGAGTGTTAAGGAGGCAACATTCCACATAGGAGGAGAGAAAGGGGAAATGGCATTAGCAAAGGCAGAGGGGCAGGAAAATACAGGCTGTGTTTGTGAAACTCAGACAGCTGAAGGGAAGACAAGAGCAGAAGAGGCCATTGTCCCCAAATTGTGGAGCACCACAATTACTAAGCCAGTAAGTTTTGATTTTGCCTTTTAGGCTGAACAAAATCATTGAAGATTTCTTGCCAAAATAATATGATTAACAGTGTCTTCAGAAGGCTATTGTGTGCGAACAGTTAACTAAACGAATGAAAACAACGCCTCTCTGCTCGGTGTGGAGTGCAGCATCCCATTTGTGTCTCCATGCGTCCGGAATATGCTCCAAGCCATGCTAGACCCAGTGAACAACACAACATTGATAAGACAGTGCCCCCAATAACACTGGAAAGTTTACGTTTCTTCACACATCTAATGCGCCTCTTTTTTGGTTATAAATACCAGGAACCCACCTTAACTGAAAAACAGAAAATGTATTGGCATATGTCACTGGAAGCCCAAGGGCTAGATCCAAGGAGTCATATAATACCATTGAGACCTACCTCTGAGGTACCACTTCTGAGATGACTTCAGGCATAACAGATAGGCTTTCTCCAAGGGGAGACCCCCAGGTTCAGAAGGCCCTTGGGCTCACCAGCCCTATTGGGGCACTCCTTTTTTTCCACTCAGAAGCACTCTCCTTGGTCTGTTTGCATCATGAACCTATCCCTGAGCCAAACACTGTTTCCAGGGGGTAAAGTACCTAGACTAGAATCCTGGGCCTGGGTTCCTCATGTGTGGCACAGAGGGAATGGCAACGTTACCAGGTTTGGAGCGAGAGTGGAGACAGTTCCTGCAAACAAAAGGTGCCAGGCAGGCAAAACATAATAAACACCCACAAAAAATCATGCAAAGAAACCACTGGTTAGAAGACAGCAGAATAGGCTGTCCTTGAGGAGGGGTGATAAGAGAAAGCATGAAGGAAGAGCTGTCAGGTACAGGGATAAAGAGCCAAAAACTCAGTTGTTTTAACTGTCCGTGAGTCCACCTTGCTAATTCTGCTTCAACTTTCCATTAATTTGTAGTTTTCCTTTATTAAAAATTCTACTTTGATGGTAGTGCTTTTGGAGCCAATTATTCCTCACAGCCTCTGGATGAGAGTTGGCCAAGGTAAGCAAGCCATACTTTAAAAGATATGATGGGCATGTGTTACTTTTAGATAATTTCACTTTATCCACTTTGAATGTTGTTTGGAAATTGCTAATATAAAGCATAGAATCCTGTTTTCTCTTATAACATTTAATTTCAGTGGGAGGATCACTTGAGACCAGGAGTTTTGAGGCTCTAGTGTGCGATGATGGGGCCTGTGAATAGCTACTGCACTCCAGCCTGGGCAGCATAGCAAGATGCCATCTCTTAAAAACAAAAACAAAAACAAAAAACCCCTTATTGACTGGGCACGGTGGCTCACGCCTGTAATCCCCGTACTTTGGGACGCTGAGGCGGGCGGATCATGAGGTCAGGAGATTGAGACCATCCTGGCCAACATGATGAAACACCGTCTCTACTAAAAATACAAAAATTAGCCGGGCGCGGTGGCTCAAGCCTGTAATCCCAGCACTTTGGGAGGCCGAGACGGGCAGATCACGAGGTCAGGAGATCGAGACCATCCTGGCTAATACGGTGAAACCCCGTCTCTACTAAAAATACAAAAAATGCCGGGCGCGGTGGCTCAAGCCTGTAATCCCAGCACTTTGGGAGGCCGAGGCGGGCGGATCACAAGGTCAGGAGATCGAGACCACAGTGAAACCCCGTCTCTACTAAAAATACAAAAAATTAGCCGGGCGCGGTGGCGGGCGCCTGTAGTCCCAGCTACTCAGGAGGCTGAGGCAGGAGAATGGCGGGAACCCGGGAGGCGGAGCTTGCAGTGAGCCGAGATCGCGCCACTGCACTCCAGCCTGGGCAACAGCGTGAGACTCCGTCTCAAAAAAAAAAAAAAAAAAAAAAAAATACAAAAAACTAGCCGGGCGAGGTGGCGGGCGCCTGTGGTCCCAGCTACTCGGGAGGCTGAGGCAGGAGAATGGCGGGAACCCGGGAGGCGGAGCTTGCAGTGAGCTGAGGTCCGGCCACTGCACTCCAACCCGGGCGACAGAGCGAGACTCCGTCTCAAAAAAAAAAAATAAATAAAAAATAAAAATAAAAATACAAAAATTAGCTGGGCATGAGGACGTGTGCCTGTAATCCCAGCTACTTGGGAGGCTGAAGCAGGAGAATTGCTTGAACCAGAGAGTCGGAG